AAAGATAAATAAAAGCGACAAAAAGGGGTAAAAAGAGAGACAAAAGGGACAATTAAAAGAGATAAAAGAGATAAACAATTAGAACAAAAAGGGAATAATTTAAAAAAAATAAAGAGAAAAGAAACAAAAATGATGAAAAAAAGAAACAAAAAGGTACACTTGAAATGAAACGAGCATGTGGAAGGGATTTCAGGTGTACGTACACTGGAGCCACGGTGTCTTCGCAGAAAAATAAAAACAAAAAAAAACAATAAAATTAAATTAAATTAAAAAATAAAATAAATTAAATTGAATTAAATTGAAATGAAACACTGGGGTAAAATAAAATAAAATAAAATAAAAGTAAATTGAAACAAAATAAAGTAGAATAATAAAATGAAACAAAAAATAATAACAAAGTGAAATAAAAATAAAGAGACAAAGAAAATAAATAAAAGAAAATAAGAGAAAATGAAAAAGAAAAGAAATAAAACAGAGTATAAATACAAGTAAAAAACATTTAAATGAAAATGCATGCTATAAATAAATAATAAATAAATAGATAAGTAAATAATAAATATAAATAAATAAGTAAATAAACAAAAGGACACAAATAAAATAAATAAAAAGCTCAACAACAACAAATGAATAAAGACTTCAAAGACGCACATCCCCCCTAATAAACAGGCCTCAGGGTTTAGGGTTTAGGGTTTAGGGTTTAGGGTTACGAATCTGGCGTGGGGGGGCAGGGCGTTTCGGAGGGGCGGAAGCTGCTGCACTTCTTGTGGGGTTTTTGGCGAAAAGAAAGAAGCAGCAAAATTAAACAAAGTTTGAAATAACATTATTTTAAATAAAGTTGTCCCCACACGCGCTGCATGCAAAAACACAAAGCCCCAAACGCATGCATGCAGCAGCAGCAGCAGCAGCAGCGGGAAACCGGCAGCAGCAGCGGCAGCAGCAGCGGCAAGCAACAGAGGCAGCAAGTCGCTGCAGCAGCAGGGGAAACTGCAGAGGGCAGCAGCAAGAAGCAGCAGCAGCAGCAGCAGCAGCAGCAGACGGGAGCAGCAACAGCAGCAAACGCAGCACACGTACACAGGAAGCTCTGCGCGGGGGCCTCATTTTCAGCAGCAGCAGCTGCTGCTGCAACAGGCTCTGGCATTTCCAGAAGGCTATCTCAGACAGCAGCAGCAGCAGCAACAGCAGCAGCAGCTGTCCATGCAAGGAGACACTTTCCCTTGTGTCCTGTCTTTGCGTGTGTCTTGCTGCTGACGCTGCTGCTGAGTTTGCTGCTGCCAAGCTGCTGCTCCTGCTGCTGCAGCAGCCTCTGCTGCTCCTCGGCGCCAGCTGCTTTCTCGCTGCCCCCGCTGCTGCTGCTGTTGCTGCTGCTGCTGCTGCCTTGTCAGGTGCTGCAGCCCCCTTTGTGGGGAATGCAGTGAGCTGCCAAAGCTCCTTTTGTCTCTTCTTAGGCTAACGTTTTGCTGCAGCGGCAGCAGCAGTAGCAGCAGCAGCAGCGTAAGCGCGAGCAGCTGCAGCAGCAGCAGCAGCAGCAGGAGAGACGGCGGCGGCTGTCTGCCGCTGCAGCAAGAGCTCAGCTGGAGTGCAGCAAACTTGGAGAAAACTTGTTTAATGGTATTTATTTTCTTTTAATTCAAGAAATAAAGGAAAGACAAAAAGCCCAGTTGCTGCAAAATGCATGCAGGGCAGCAGCCGCAGCAGCAGCTCGGGGCTTTCTGTCGGCAGCGGCAGCTTTCTGAAATGAATTAAGTAAATAAAAAATAAAAAAATAAATATTTAAATTAAATCAGTGATTTGTTTTATTTACTTTTTGATTTTAATCAAACAATTAGGACGAGACAAACTGCAGCAAGCAGCAGCACAGAGAGCTGAGGGGCCCCTGCGCTACTTCAGGGGCCCCACGAGCCCTAAACCCTAAACCCTAAGCAACTAAACCCTAAACCCTAAACCCCAATCGGGGGGCTGGAAGATACCTTCTGCATATTCCACCGCCTTCTTTGGTCCCACTTGTCTTTGCAGCAGCTGCACCCGCAGCAGCAACAGATTTTGCTGCAACACCAGCAACAGCAGCAGCAAAAGCACCAGCAGCAGCAGATCCGGCAACAACAGCAGCAACAACAGAAGCAGCAACAACATCACCAACAGCAGCAACAGCAGCAGCAACAGCAACAGCAAAAGCAGCAACAGAAGCAGCAAAAATAGCAACAGCAGCGGCAGATTTGGCAACAACAGCAACGATAGCAACAGCAGCAACAGCAGCAACAGCAGCAACAGCAGCAGCAAAGGCGGCAGCAGCAGAAGCAGAATGGGCATCGCCTCTGCCGATACCTAGCAGCGGAAGCAGCAGCAACAGCAGTAGGCGCGTCAACAGCAGCGACAACAGCAGCAGCAGCAGCAACAGCATCAACAGCAGCAGCAGCAGCAGCAGCAGCAAAAGTGTGTGGACGGCTCCCTGCAGATTAAGCAGCAGCAAAAACTCAAAATCATTTAATCAGCAGCAAAAACCAATGAAAACCAGAGAAGCAGACATCAAATAAAATGGCGCAGTGAGCTGCTGCTGCTGCTGCCGCTAATACCACTGTTGCTGTTGTTGCTGCTGCTGCTGCTGCTCCCGAAAGCTTCTTTGCTCTTTCTGCTATTCATGTGGCTGCTGCTGCGGATGTCGTGTGTCGCTGCTAGCCTTGGCTTTACCTCCGCTGCTGCTGCTGTTCTTGCTGCTGCTTTTCCTGCTGCTACTGCTTTTGCTGCTGCTGCTGCTTTTATCGCTTTGCCTGTGAGGCAGCCATTTTAGCTGCAGCTAATGTTTCTGCTGCTGCTAAAGGAGACGCTGCCGCTGCTGCTCCTGCTGCCTGAAGCGTTGCTGCTGCTGCTGCTGCTTCTGCTGCTGCAGGTGCTGCAGGCAGCAGCTTGCTGCTGCTGTTGCTGCTCTTGATGCTGCGCTGCAGCCGCCGCAGCAGCAGCACGAGCTGAAGCGAGTGCTGCTTCGACTGTACGTACACCTAAAAATGTCCATTCCAAATTAAACTTTGTTTATAATTGCATGCATGCATGCATGCGTGCATGCATGCATGCATGCATGCATG